CTAGTAAAAGTAATTAAAAGACTTGTATTCCTAGTTTAGTAAAAAAAATCAAATCATGAATTAATGTTGAATTTTATTAATGCTTTCTCTGCTTTTTTCCAATAATATGGTTATGTTTATTTTCTCTCCCTCTTAATGTGGTTGTCAGAACTGGGATGAGTCTGAGATTTTACCCTGCTTGCAAACTAACAAGTTAGGCTGCCTTGGCTTTATGGAGGTGGTAGAAAATACGTATGTATATGTGCATACACAAATATGTGTATGTGTATCTCTCTATCTCTCTCACTCTCTCTCTATATATATACATATATACATATATATACATATATATATCTTTAGTTTAATTTTTTTTAAGATTTTCTTTATTTGTCAGAGAGAGAAAGCACAAGCAGGGGGTGTATCAGGCAGAGGGAGAAACAGGCTCCCCGCTGAGCAAGGAGCCTGATGTGGGTCTTGATCCCAGGATTCTGGGATCATGACCTGAGCTGAAGGCAGATGCTTAACTGACTGAGCCACCCAAGGCGTCCCTCTTTAGTTTAATTTTTAACACAAAGTAAAAGTCTAAAATTTAATACTATTGCTACTTCCTTCCTGGAAAAGTATAAGAAATTCAGAATGCTTAAATTCTAATTATCTTCTGTGTTTTATGTTACTGTTGACCAGTATTTGGCTTTCATCTGGTTTTTAATGCTACCCAAATTTAGAATTTTTGTTATATATTTATGTTATATTTAACCACTTGGTTATTAATTTCATGTTTTTGCCTTGTTTCTTACATCATAGTTCTTACTTTTGGATCCAATCATGCCTTCCTAAAATATTTCTTTTTGTTAAGGGTAACTCAATTTTCTTTCTCAGAGAATGTCTTTATTTCTCTTTTTCAAAAGTGGTGATTTCACTAGGTATAAGAAGTCTAAGTTGACAAGTATTTTCCCTCAGCATTTTGAAGGTAGAAATTTTTCTGCCAGGCTCATCATAGTGTTTTGTATTGTTTTTCTCTCAGGAAGCTTGTAAGATCTTCTCTTTGCAAAGGCATGGAGAGGTGTTCTGCCATTTTACTCTAATGTGCCATTTATTAAAATCTACCTTCTTCAGCATGAGAATTCATCTGAATATTGATCAACTCACCTATTATAACGTTCAATGCTTTCTTTCTCACATTTTCTGTTTTTCTTTCTGATATTCCTATTAGGTGAATTTTAGACTTACCATTCTTTCTTTTTAGCATTCGATTACTCCTTAAGATTTTCCAACTATTCATCTCTTTGTGCTACATTCTGGGTATATTCTTCAGACCTATCTTCTGTTTGACCAATCATAACTTCAACTATGTTCAGTAAGTGGCTTAGCAAAGGCATTTAGGTTTAATTTTAAAAATAAACTCAATTTAATTTTTTTGAAACTTTATTGGTTTCTTTTCCAATTTGCCTATACTTTTCAAAAACTATGCCATATGATTTTGATCATTATTTTTTCTTTTTAAAAAATTTTTTATTTTAAATTCATTTAGCCAACATACAGTATGTCATTAGTTTCAGGTGTAGAGATAATTTTTTTAAAGATTTTATTTATTTTTTTTGTCAGAGAGAGAGAGAACACAAGCATGGGAATTGACAGGTAGAGGGAGAAGCAGGCTCCCCAATGAGCAAGGAACCCAGTTTGAGACTCAATCCCAGGACCCCAGGATCCCCATGACCTGAGCTAAAGGCAGATGCCTAACTGACTGAGTCACCCAGGTGTCCCTCAGATGTAGAGATCATTTTAAATATACTTATTGTAAAGTATCTATGAAATTATTATATAATCAGAATTTCTTGGTCTTCTAAATGCCGACTTGTGTGTTTTAGCTCTTGGTCATAGTGGAAGCAAAAGAGAAAAACTTGCCTTTGTGCGCCAAAAAGAATAAGTTCCTATTTATTTATTTATTAGAAGTTTTAGTCCTACTTAAATCTATACCTTTGTTGTGAGGTAACAGTGTAAATTTTTAAATACTTTTCTGTATAATAATCCCTTATTGTTGTGTATTTAAATTATAGTCATAAACAGATTGACTTTCTAATCCTATTATTCTCGAACTTCAGGAAGGGCTTTTGAGTGTAAATTCATTTTCAATACTTCTATGGAAACAGAGGGAAGGAGAGAGAGCTCTACATTATTGAATTAATTTTTTTTCCATGTAACAATGTATCTTGGGGAGTTATTCATACCTACATTTAGAACTCTATTCCCTACCTTTAAACTATTGTATATGTCTTTATTTATTTGACTCTGCTATTAGTGTGTATTTAATTGTTCTCTAGTCACAGTATACATGATTTAGTACAAAATTTGTTTGTATAAATGATTTGTACCTAATTTTTTGTGTGTGTTTCTATTAGGTATATTTCTGAAAGAGAAATTACTGAGATTACTACTTTGTGCATTTTACATTTGATAATATGAAATTGTTCCAAATTTTGAATACAGAAAAGAGTAAGGGACTCTGGAGACTGCCTTGAAGAATTAGAGCTAATACAATTGAAAATAGAGAGCTGCCTCGGTGACCAGGGCTCTTGCTCTTAGACACAGCATGCTTGATCCTGTTCTTACACAGATACTAGTGGGAGCTTTGCCTGTGTACAAAGCAGAGGAGCATATTTTCAAATTATCGTGAAGAGTTTGGGTGTTGTATGACAAGATAAAGTGGTATCAAGTTGTTGATTGCAGAATGTCCTCTCCAGGATTTTAGCCAAAGTCTTCACACTTCAGGTAACTTCTTGAGCTTGCCATGAGAGGAGGAGTTTCTTTCCAGCTGGATGCTGATTTTTATGGTTGCTACTGACAGTTGAAAATCATGTTTTGTTTTAGGACTTCTCTACTAAATAGCACATCTTCAAGTTTTCCTGTTTTTCTTTTTCCTCTCCTATCTTGGGATTAAATAGAGTTAGGTATCTTTTAAATAAATTTCTGCTTTTATAAAATACATCTTTGGTTACATAGCATTATGATATTCTTGTTAAAAATGCATACGTTTTAGGGATGCCTGGGTGGCTCAGTTGTTAAACGTCTGCCTTTGGCTCAGGTCATGATCCCAGGGTCCTGGGATCGAGCCCCACATCGAGCCCCGCATGGGGCTCCTTGCTCAGTGGGGAGCCTGTTTCTCCCTCTGCCTGCCGTTCCCCCTGCTTGTGCTCTCTCTCTGACAAATAAGTAAATAAAATCTTTTAAAAAATGCATACATTTTAATATTTAACTCAATTTTTTTGCTTTCATATCTTTTTTTTTTTGCTTTCATATCTCTTAATTCTCTATATTTTTTCTTGTCTTTTTTCTTTTCTTAAATGCCCATCTAACTGATCAAGGGCATCTTCAGTCAATGGTAGAGGAGAAAAGGGCAGAGTAGAGTTTTTAATCTGCTACTTGGTGATTTACAGACTCAGTTTCATGGAGCTGACATTTCCTCTCTCTCAAGTCTTAGAGATTCATGCCAGTCTGATTAAAGTAAGTGAGTGGTGGAGATATCTTTTTGTTCAGACCAACTCAGAAAAGCAACAGTTAAATATAATGGTGTTCTTAATGTCAAACTTACTGAAGGTATTGGTTGCCTCCCACATTATCTGGGAAAAGACTACCAGTGCCCACTCACTGGATGAGGGATGCTATTATACCCATATTAACTGATATCCTTGGGGAGATGACAGTTGGGACACTTACAACATTCCACATCAAACCATGCAAGGCAAGAAGCTGTCAGAGGGAAAACATTTATTTTATCTGACTCCTTTGTCTATCATGATGGTTCACTATCTTCTCTGTTATAAAATTTTCAACATTCCCATGCTCACTTCTAAGAATGCCTTTTGGCATTTAGTCTTTAAATAAGTTAAATAATAATTTAATTTTCAGAGTTGAGAGTTTTGTATCTCTGAATAACAGGAGATACATTGGGATGGTTCAGAATAAGGATTGGCAAATACTTGATTCTAACTTTTAATATATTTATTGTACTATTGATTGGTTTACCAAAAACATTCATATTTCAAGCCTAGCATTGGACTAGGCATTTTCAGTTTTGATTGTATTTTTCTAATGACTAACGATACTGAATACCTTATCATGTAGTTACTTGTCATTTATACATTATCTTTGGTGATGAGTCTGTTCAAATCTTTTGCCTACTTTTTTTATTGAGTTGTTTGTTTTCTTAGTATTGAGTTTTAAGAATCTTTATATCCTGGAGACAAGTCTTTATTAGATTTTGTAAATATTTTGTCCCAGTCTGTAGCTTGTCTTTTCATTTGTTTAAGAGGTATCTTTCAAAAAGCAGACATTCTTAATTTTGAAGTCAAATTTGTCACTTTGTTCTTTTATGGATCATGTTCTTAGCATAGTATTTAAGAAATTTTGCTAACCCAATGTAATAAAGACCTAATTCTCTCTTTTGTTCTAGAAATTTTATAGATTTAAGCTTAAGTTTTACATTTAGATCTGTGATACATTTTGATATAATAAGAACAAAATTCTTGATATTTACCTAAATTACTGTCATTTCTCATGATTTGATCTATGTGTAAACACAGTGTCCATCTGGCATCACTGTCTTTTTGCCTGAATGATTCCTTTAAATTTTCTTTTTTTTTAAGATTTTATTTATTTGATAAAGAGAGACACAGCAAGAGAGGGAACACAAGCAGGGGGAGTGGGAGAAGGAGAAGCAGGCCTCCCGCAGAGCAGGGAGCCCGATGTGGGGCTCGATCCCAGGACCCCAGGATCATGACCTGAGCCGAAGGCAGACACTTAACGACTGATCCACCCAGTCGCCCCTCCTTTAAATTTTCTTATAAAGCATTATGTCTGTCAGTGATAAATGTACCATCATTTGTATGTTTGAATAAGTCTTTATTTTGCTTTTGTTTTTGAAAGACATTTTCACTATGTACAGAATTCTGCGTTGACAGTTTTGTTTTGATTTTTCTTTGATTATTTTAAAGATATTGCTCCATGACTTTTATTTATTTTTTTTAAATATGGAACACTTCATGAATTTGCATATAATCCTTGTGCAGGAGCCATATTAATCTTCTCTGTTATTCCAATTTTAGTGTATGTGCTGCTGAAGTGAGCACACTCCATGACTTTTAGTGTGCACTGTTACTAATGAGAAACATGCAGTCATCCTTATCTTTGCTCCCCTGTACATAACGCATCTTTTTTTCTTTGGTTGTACAAGGTCCTTTTATCTTGTTTTATGTTTTTATATATATTTAAATAAAACAATGTAACACATATTTATTTTTGTTCTTTCAAAAAGGTTTTTGTATTGTCCAAGGCTAGGCAGCCTTGAAAAAGCATATATGTACATATATTTTCCTCATAGAATGGGAATCAGGTCAAATTCATAGAATTTTTTTGATCTACTTTATTTTATTTCAAATAGTTTACATATTTATTTGAGAGAGAGAGACAGATAGTGAGACAGCACAAGTGGGGAGGAAAGGGCTTGATCCCAGGACCCTGAGATCATGAACTAAGCCAAAGGCAGCCACTTAACCAACTGAGCCACCCAGGTTCCCTGTCCATTGCATTTTAGAAGGGCATACAAATAAAATAAGGTGCATAAATTCAGTGAGGTGGGAAAAAAATGCATAGTATGCAAATCACCTTTAAAATGTTTTTCTTTAAAATAATAAAAAAATAAAATGTTTTTCTTTGATTAGGAATCATGTTTGCTTGCTTTTTATACTTCCATGAAAAATAATAGAATGAGCTTTGTTAATTTACCAAAGAGTCTCTAGGTGAAAAATATTGTGATGGGATGTCTTTGGATTTCTGCTTTGAGTGGAAGAGTGAAAAGAGTCTGAACAAATTTCCCTTTGTCAAGCTCCCCAAGTTGTGCTCAAAGAGATTCAGCTGCAAATGCAGACAATCCCTCTCCTTGCTTCGTAGGCAGGTCAAGCCCCGGAATTTATCAGTGAATTGAAGAATCCCACCTTCATGTAGATCTATCAGTTAGGACTAGGTCCATCTGCATGGACAAAGGCTTAAACAAGATGAAAAGCTATCTCTCTCACATAAAATTCCAGACTTAACAGTACAAGGGTGTTATTGTGACTCTGTTCCACAAAGTTTTTAAAACCCAGGTTCCTTTCAATTCATTGTTCTGTCATAGTAGAATATGACTGTTGCCATCTGGTCCAAGACAATGGCTAGAGTTTTAGCCATCCTTATCAGGAAGCCAAGTATAGAAGGTGATAAAGAAAAAGAGTAAAGGGCATACACTGGAAAGGGATTTTAGAAGCTGACACCAGTATTTAACTACCATTTCACTGACCAAAATTCAATCACAAAGCTGCACTTAACTGGAAAGGAGATTGGAAATTATAGACTTTACGGATAGTCATATATCCAGCTATGGTAAAAGAGAGGAATGGAGACTAGGAAATTAATAGTCTCTGCTTAGGTGAGTATAAATAAGCATTGTTATATCATCCTCTCTAATATGAGATCTGCTTTATTTTTTTCTCCACATTTACTTCTTCTGACATAATTCCTACTTTACTAATAATTTGTTTCATTGTTATTTTTGCTGACCAGAATGTGCACATTATGAGGGCAGGGATTTTTGTTTGCCTTTATGAAGGGAATAAGTACAGAACGTGGCATGTGATTGATGCTTAATATTTGAATGAAGAATAAAATAAACATGGAGTCTATAACCAATCTCTGTCATTGTAATTAGAGTAAAAAGCATTAATCTCAGAAAAGGCAAACACCTTTAATTTGACAAGACATAAGTAGATATGTAATAAAAGAGATCAATAAAGACAGGAAAAATTAGTAGAGATCTGAATGCAGGGGGAGTAAAAATGAGTATTGAAGGAATTTAAATTGTGAGGAAAAGACTTTCCTGACAGAATAGTAGCAAGGAAAGCATACAAATGCTAGATTTCTTTTCTTCAGGCAGATGCTATCATAAGCAAAGTTGGTTGGATGAGTTTACCTTAGGAGTCAGGAAGGAGACAAACTTGAGTCAAAGCACTTTAGTATTGTTTGATCATTTTATTTTCATAATAATTTGATTTAGAAGGTGTTGTTATCACCAATTAATAGAGGAAGTTTAAAAACCTAAATCTGATAAATTATTTATTTATGGTCCCATAGTTTATTCATTAATTACTTCATATTTATTCACTGGAGTCCAGAAAAGACCCAAACACTAACCTATTGTCTTTAATTTGTGCTCTTTTGTTCAGATACCAGTGCTAAGGTAAAAGTCAAAATATACACAAAGAACCATAAGTTGAATTGGGATATATCATAATCATTAAAAAAACCATTTTATATCAATTTCTGTACCTGGACAGTGAGAGCAACATGTTTTATACCTAACACTGAGGTGTATATAAGAACAAATAAGATTCAACCTCACATTTTATATTTTCTGAATTTTATGGCAAAGAAAATAAATCAATTACTTAGATTTAACTTATGGACCTGAAGTTGCATATGCAAATTACAATAACATTTGCAATTGTACACTTTATAGGATTTCAAATGTCTTCTTATAAAGAAAACTACATTAAATAAAGATAATGCTTGCTCTTCATCTGTCCTCAGTTATTACTTTTCCTTTGGGATAGTGTTTCTGCTAACTTTTTTCCTTTTACTGAATGGCCAGGAAAGGGAAAGAAAAAAGAAACTAAGGCTCTTAGTCATTAAGTGTCAAGAAATCAATATGAAGATGTCTTTGGGCAGATTAATGTGAAATGAATTAAAACCAAAGCCTTCATGATGTGAATGTGTACATGTACATATTCTGCACAATTCAGAGTAGACATAATTCAAATATGAATAGCATTTCTTGTTATTTCTATTTGAGTCATTGACTGAAGTGGTGCAGAATATTAAAATCACTAGCAAAACTTAGCTGAACAAATGTTTCACACGTTTAGTAAAAGATATATTATTAATCTTATCACACAGGAGTTATCACTGTTATAACTAACCCTGGAGCTGTAAAATGAGCTGTAAAATAGATTTGATTTTAGAATATTACAAGTTCTGTCATTATGGCTAAGATTAACTATATAGCCTGATAAAGGTCTATTGCTTTTAGTGATACAGCAATGTCGCAGACAGGAACTGCTTGGTAATTATAGCTGACTTACTAGAAATAAAAGGGCAGAAAAAGGGCACCTTTGAGTAATTATCAGTAATAGAAAGACAAGTGATTTCAGCAAAGTAATAGAGAATAACGGTTTCACAGTGATAGATGATAGAAAGGGTTAAGTCCTAAGTAAGTTAGAGGCTTTGATGGTGGAATAGTTATAATTTATTTTGGTACAATTGAGTGCTCATCTAGAGCCTTATCTGAGCTGAGGGATTTTTCTCTGGTGCTCTCTACAGATAAGATATTCTACCTTGATGATATAATGTGCAAACTTGAAGTTTGCATTGCACTGTAGCTCTTTGAGATTTAGGTCTTCCTTGTTGGTTTTTATTTCATTTACTGAAGGGTGAATATATGTATTCAGCTCTGACAGTAATCAAACCTGTATTTCTTTTCTGGTAGTATTTTCCTCTGTTCAAGCTCTGTTTATAATATTTAAGTGTTGGATGATGTATTAACCCCTCGAAGGTATTGTATACCATACAAAGCATCATAGGTTGACTTTATTAAATTGCACTTTTCAGAAATGAACCAGGAATACCATCTCTACTCTTGCCCTTCAGCATGCTTCTTAGATTCTCTGTCTGTAAAATAATGTCATTAAGTCCAATTGGTTTTCTTGGCAAAACTCCAGGTGTGGCATACTTTATTTGGTCCCTTTGGCATGTACAATCTGGGAAATGATTTTTTGTTTCAGATTTTATTTAAATTCGTTAGTTAACATGTAGTGTATTATTCGTTTCAGGGTTAGAATTTAGTGAATTCATCACTTGCATATAACACCCAATGCTTATTAAATCAAGTGCCCCCTTTTTTAATGCCCATCACTCAGTTACCCCATCCTCCCACCCACCTCCCCTCCAGCAACCCTCAGTTTTTTCCCTATAGTTCAGAGTATCTGATGGTTTGCCTCCCTCTCAGTTTTTAACTTATTTTTCCTTCCCTTACCCTATGTTCATCTGTTTTGTTTCTTAAATTCCACATATGAGTGAAGTCATATGATATCTGTCTTTCTCTGACTGACTTATTTCGCTTAGCATAATACCCTCTGGTTCCATCCACATCATCGCAAATGGCAAGATTTCATTCTTTTTGATGACTGAGTTATATTCCATTGTATGTATAAACCACATCTTCTTGATCCATTCATCAGTTGATGGACATCTGGCCTCTTTCCGTATGTTGGTTATTGTGGACATTGCTGCTATAAACATTGGGGCACCTGTGTCCTTTTGAATCACTATTTTTGTATTTATCCACTACTAGGATAAATACCTAGTACTGCAATTGCTGGGCCATAGGGTAGTTCTATTTTTAGCTTTTTGAGGAATCTCCATACTGTTTTCCAGAGTGGCTGTACCATTTTGCTTTGGGAGATGGTTTATGCTTCAACATAACAATTCTCATAGTAACTCAAGTCACAGTCTTGGCAACCCATGTTCATCCCTCAAATAAAGAAAATGTGGGGGATGGGCAAAATGGATAATGGGTGTTAAGGAGGGCACTTTTTGTGGTAAGCACTGGGTGTGATGAATCATTAAATTCTACACCTGAAACCAATTTTGCCATATATGCTAAGCACTTGCATTTAAATAAAAATTTGAAATTAAAAAACAAACAAAAAACAAAACAAAAATGAAACAAAATCAAACAAAATCAAACAAAAAAAAGAAAATGCTTTCCTTGGGGACAAAAAGAATTAGAGAGGCTGTGTTATAATCTAAAACTTGCTGAAAATCCACTAATCCAAATAATAAAAATACATCACATGCATTCTCATCAAGGTGCCCATATGCTATTTATATTCTTAGTACATGGAAATGAGAGATTATATTGTACTAAATATTACTGAAATATGTAATTTCAAAACATGAGATGTATCTAAAGTGGTGCTTGGGGGAAAATTACAGCTTTCAAAAATATATAGGACAAGAAGAAAGGTTGAAAGTCATCAAT